AAAAAAAAGGTTGCCTTTTCGTAATATTAAACGTAGGTAGATATAACGCTTTGTCACATGCTTATCAATATCTCATGTTTTTATCTAAGTATATATAAAGATAATATTGTCAACTTTTCTTATTTTGTTTAATAAATTACTTTTGCATCATAGTTGATCCTGAAACGTGAATCACAAAACAACATGGCTGCCTATCATATTCCTGATCCATCAAATCGATTAACTAATGAACAAATGTCTCATACATTGAATAAAATAGATGAAAATGATGTGTCACAACCATCATCATCGTCTACATCCGTAAGATAGTACTTAAAATCATAATCATATTGTATGTTTTAGTCTATTTATTTACTTCAGGAACCTCCAAGAAAGCGTAGTAATTCGGTATTACAGTGGATGCAAAAAACTTTACATATAACAAAAACTGGTGCAAATCATGACGATTCACGTTCACGCCAACGATCATCATCAATAACACATCATGATAAAACTACTCGATCACCTCCCGTTAGTTTTCCTGCAAAAAAACATGGACGACCAAGATCATCCACATTGGATTCAACGGGATCAACAGACAAAAAAATGCCACCACGAAAAAAAACCATTACTGATACAGATGAAAAAGCAGAACAAACACGATCTATATTTGAATTTGCATTTTTTCATTAAAAGAAAAATTGACATTTGTTCTCTGATCTTTTCTTTTTATCATTCAAATAAAGCCATGTAACTTATTCTTTCTAAAAGATGAAAACATGTCTAAACTGAATATTATTAATTCAATATAAAAAAAAATTGCTAATATTTTTTGTCGATAACTATTTATTTTATACACTTTCTTTGCAATTGTCTTAGAGATTAAGAAGAAGAATTATAAATCAAACAGTATTAAATTAAAAAACAAGTCATCGATTAACAGGCAAAGAATGAAAGAAGAGAAACTATGTGCGTAATAATAATAATAATAACTTTTCATGCAACTTTTATTTCGACAATGAATACTACAACTACTAATATGTTTAGTCATTATTATTCTTTATCTACAATATATTCACAGAATGATTTCATGGCATATTTTGTTTGTCTCAATCATTGTAATGATATCGTCTGTGGAAAGTGTAGTATTAAACATCGGACAGTGGTTACATAACAAATGAATGATCTTATACAACAATTGAAATAATGTCAAATTGATTCAATAACAACACATGATGAAATTGATAATAATGTTTTACGTGCTTCTCAACAAACTCTTCAACCTATACATGATACTGTTAATAATTTAATTGCTGAAATTCAACAATACGAAAAAAGCAATCATCAAAGAAATTGAAAATAGTTTGGAATTATGAGAAAAAAAACAACGAGAAAAACGTAATAAGTATGAAAAGAGAAAGAGTTTTTAATTAAAATTAATCAAATTGTATTTGTACTAATCACATTTTAATTATCATATGGCTTTTAGAGTGAATGTTATATTTAGTGTTAAAAGAAAAACATAATCTTAATTTTTGTTTATACAAATAATTTAGCAGCATTAACAATTGAAAATTATACAACGTCATTTAGGTGTTCGCAATGCTCTTAGTCAGTCTATATCAGAAGTTAAAAATACTATTGTAGAATTAGAAAAATTTAATATTGAAGAACTTCTTCGTTTTCGTTTAGCTCCTCGAACTGAATCATCATCAATTACAAAGCAAAATAGCAATGGTAACAAAACTAATACTACTTTTACTGTTCGTTTAGATAAACGTAAAAAAAATTTCAAAATCTTGGTTGATATCTAATTATGATATCATTGAATGATCATTACTATGAAACATTTTTTCTTTCCATTGTTCAGATAAAAGTCTTATTTTATTGAGTACGATTGCTATTGACGTCATTAATCGTGGTTCAGGTCTTGAAATTAGTATTTGATTATCAAAAATATTAGATACAACAAAAGATAAAATATTAACAGACATCTGGCATCAATAATGTCAACGTTTAACACTTAATGGTAATCATTGTATGTATTTTTTTTATATACAAGAACAACAACATGCTGATAAATTTTGATATCAACCAACACATGATGATCCATATAGTACATTGAGATTTCTCAGGATTCGATTCAGGTCTCTCGGGACGTGAAAAAACAACACATTTTGGTTTGACTGAATGTGCTCTATTAAGAATAGCAGCAAATAATCTCAAATCAATTTATGGTTCTATTCGTCTCGATAATTTAACTAATAGTACCGAACTATGTGATGACGTTGAAACAATATTTAATCAAATTCAACAAGAAAGTCGTCGATTAGGTATTAGTCCGGTACTTCGTTCTGTTATTGATCTTGTGTGTACATCTAATATACTTGTTAATTCGAAAGAATTTACTCCATCGTCATCTCATTTTGACAATGAAGCATTTTGCTGAAAGATGAATACTTATTGCTAATTGTCTTGTTGATATCCAAACAAAATCAATATCTGATTCATTATCAGTTATTGATGCTCGTTAGTCATTTTGTCAAGCTATATATACAGTACAAGATTTTTATGCTCATTTGAATTGGATAGAATTAGGACGACAAGTACCAAATCAAGTAATTGGTACTGGCATGATATTGAGCTTATATGCACCGCAGAACCTTGATACTTGTAACAATCGTACAGCACAAAGTTATGCTGAAAGAAATATTTTATCTGAGATTTATAGTGATATATATATTTGACAAGTAGATATTTCGATATGTACTCTGGAAGTTGTTCCAAACCGAAAGGTAAATGTAGTCATGGTGGTCTACTTGATATGATAACTCAAACAGATGCTATAGATTTTGGTATTAATAAAGATAATGGAAATTCTGACCATGGATCATTTCATACTCTTGCAACTAAAATTGTTATTATTGCTACAATTTAACAATTGAAATCATTGTAGTCAAGTGTAGGCAATGATACTTTTGGTCGATTCTTAGATTTTCATTCAACTAGTTTTGTTATTGTAATTGATACCACAGGCAGTATGTCGTCTGTTATCGAACTCGTTTAAAAAGTAGCTATTGGTATTATAGAATTTACACAAGAAGATAATTCATTATTTTGATCTGCAAATTATATTTTATCACCATTTAATGATCCTGAATGGGGTTCACTAACAATAACAACTGACGTTCAATTCTTTATAGATAAAATTAATAATTTGACTGTCGATGGTGGTGATGATGAACCTGAATTGTATTATCATGATTTTAATGAAGCTCTTCAAGTCTGTGAAATGAATTCGATTATTTACATGTTACTGATGTACCAGCTAAAGATACTTATCTCGGGACGCAAGTATTCGCACGTGCTACTGAACTTAAATTCTGAATTTTCTTGTTCTATGTTCGTCGTACATCCACATCTTGAAAGCATCGTCAACGAAGAGATACCGATGAAATATTAGATGGCTTAATAGATGATGATCTAGCGAGCAGTCATTCTATTCCGCGATTTTGCACATTGCGGAATCAATTCCAACCCCGGAATCATCGAACTAACTCGACCTATTCGACAACGATCGAGTTTCTTTAATTTCCAGAATTTCGTTCGATTCCCCAATTCCATTCAATTCCGGAATTCCGTCTTATCCACACCCTGAACTTGCTCTGTGTATTTAAAGATGAATATCAGAAATAAGCGAGCGATTCCCGAACGGAATTCCGGCAATTAGATCGAAGCGAAATTAGACGGAATCAGAGAGAGTTCCTACCAATTCCAAGTAATTCCATCCGATTCTCGAATTCCGTTCAATTCTAGAATTCGTCCTCACCCTCACCCTCAGCTTGCCTTGTGTAGTTAAGGATAAATATCTAAAATAAGTGAGCAATTTCCGAACGGAATTCCGGGAATCGCTCACTTATTTCAGATATTTCTCTTTAAATACACAGGGCAAGCTGAGGATGTGGAAAAGACGGAATTCCATCTGATTTCGTCCGATTTCGTCTAATTCTGATTCTATTTAATTCTCGGAATTCCGTTCGAGACTTCCTCACTTATTTCAGGTATTTATCTTTAACCACACAAGACAAGCCGAGGTTGAGGATGAGACGGAGTTCCGGAATCGGATGGAATTCTGGCAATTCCGGAAATTGAGGGAATTTGATCGTTTTCAAATAAGCCGAGTTAGTTCGATGATCCCGGAATTCCGGAATCGGATTGAATTGATTCCGCAATGTGCAACATCGCAGAATAGGATGTATTCTCATTTATTTCCACAAGACTTATTACTTGCCATTACTGGATCTGGCTCGATCAACAGAACATTTGTTGTCGATATCAATACCACTCGTATATAGATCGATTTAACATCAAGCAGAGCTCTCTTCACATCAACTTTCAATTCATTTCATTTAATTGATCTCAATGGTGTACTAATTACTCCAGTATTAGTTGCTGCTGGGACTTATTTTCAATTATATATAATCGAAAATCCACGTTCTGATTTATGATATCTTTTAAGTACTCAATCATACTCTCACAGTGTCGAAATAAATATTTCAGAAATTTCGAATACATCAACTGTAGCAATATGTCATACAACATTAAGTCAACGAATTAAACGCGAGTCAAATAATGCTTATAGACCCTTACTTATTGCATCTACTATCAATCAATCAGATCTTGTATTAGTAATATCATACAACAATCTTCGATCTTCTATTCAATCGGCTACTATTGAATTAGTTAATAAACACGGTGAAAAATATATTCGTTTTGCAGGCATCGAATATCACTAAAACTGCTGGATCAATCATTTTATCTGTGATAATACACGATACTGCTTTTCGTATGTTGATTAAAATAAAATTAACAGACAATTCAATAATAGAACAGCAAAGTAATGTTCTCATTTCACCAACTTCAATTTCGATTTCAATTACTAATCAACCATACACATTGACAAACAATTCAATAAGTTCTATTACATTCACAATGTATAATCGAGCTCACGAAATTCTATTAATTCGAATGTGTGTACTTGATACATTATAATTATTTGACATTAATGGAACCTATCGCAAATATACTGTTTCTAACATGAGTTTCATTCATGATATTTTGCATATCGATATAAGTACGTGGTTAGAAGACAACAAGACTAGTGATATTTGCAATGTAATAAGTGGATCTATGACATTTGTCATTACTTCAACAAACAACATCGGAAAAGTTCTCGAAAATTATAATAAAATTTCTTTCTATATTCAAACACGAGAATATAATTATACATCGCCCGAGGCAATCAAGTAAGCATTCTATGTTTATATTTTGTTTCTATTTTTTTTTGTAGTAGTACTAAAGCTATAAATACAACTTTGGTTTCGATTGTAAACACATCTTCGAATAAAGCAATAATCTGGTCTCATGTATTATATACTCATCCAAATAGATTCTATTTGATCTTTTTATTTTTTGTTTATTTTTTCATATTATCCTTTGTATTAATCTATTTTATTTTATTTTATGAATAACTAAACTAGAAATAAACATAATCATAGCAGAAAACTTAATTTTTTTTATTATCTTTTGATATCCATTGTGTACCATCATGTTTTGGTTGAAATGGAAAAGGAATCAGCAATCGAAATAAAAGTTCACTAATTTTATTTACTTCAAAAAATCTTGCCCAATTCAATTTGAATCCAAAATCATATGGTCGTTGTTTTTGTCCTTGTACAGAATTAGCTACAATGGATTTATCAATTCTTTCTTCTACACATGTTTGACCTTTAGTAATAAGACTTATCTGCCATATAGTTAACATTAATACAAGACCCATTGCAACAAGATTGGTAAGAAAAAGAAAAAGTGTCAATACACCAGTGATAGGACCTATAGTTTTGTGCTCTATTATAGTCGTAACTAACTCCTCTGGTTGTAGAATAGGAGCAAATAAACCGAAAAGTATTTGATCATGGAACATTACTAGTTGGAATTGTTTTTGTCCGACAATAGTAGCATAAGCTGAGATCAATGCCATAAAAAAACAAAATAAGATAAAATGTACATGATTTCGATATCCAACACAATTGTTAATCCAAGGACCTAAATAAAAAAATTACATTTGGAGACTATCAACAAAAAAAAAAAAAAAAGATAATCCATAAAAAAATATGTATTCGATTTTGAATAATAAAAAAAAGAGTTAAGCAGGGACAACCCGACCTATAGGATGTTGGGGCGTGTGATATTCTCCCACAAAAAACCGCAATCCCTCCCCCTCACCGCTTAATGTTCGCTGTTTCGGGCCAGTTCTGCAATTAAATCATGAAGTTTCTTAGTTTCGGTATATTTAATGAATACTATTCAGTGGTTTGATTCAATTAAACTACCAACGACAAAAAGTTTGTGAATAGTATTTTTGATATAAAGTATAGAGTTTACAGTTAGGACAACTTCATGTAGACATAGAGGAATACTACAAGACTAGATGTTTAAAATACAAATAAAAGTTGAATAGAAATATACAAAATGTTGATACACTATCAGAATTTTTTTAACATACATTCTTGAATAAAACATTTGTTGATAGATCATTTCATGCTCTCTCTCGACTGTAATCTCGAGTTAAGCATATCATATTAAATTATATTCATGATCAGATTACAATCTTTATTTTAACATCACTGAGTTAGTATAAAAACTGATCAAACACAAAATTTGTAAAAAAAAAATTCAACAGTGACAACGTGAACTGGGAAATGCGACCGACGAAGTATACAATGATTCTATTAACAAATATTATTCAAGAATGTATTAAAACAATTCAGATGGTATATTGACACTTAGTATAGGGTATCCCAAAATTATTGGATCCCACACCCACACCGCCATACATTCATACAATAATATTTATTTCATCTATAGAGGAACAGACAAAGACAATCGACAATAGCAATAGTTAGCAGACAACCATGCTCGCATAAATAGGTTATCAATAGTTTAATAATATAAACTTTTCCTAATGAAATAAATATTACTGTATGAATGTATGAGAGGAGGAGAGCGGGGGCGTCTTATCATTTTGGGATACCCTATATCTTTGTAGTATTATAAGCGTTTAATCTCGTGCTAATTATATATCTAAATAAGTTTGTTCTAATTATAAAATTTATATTTTATATCAAAAAATGCGATTCACAAGCATTTTATTGTTGATAGAAAGTAAAATATAACATGTTCATCATGCAAGAAAAATTACATTTTTATAAAATAGTACTCAGTATGAGTATGTTGTTCTTTAACAATAAAACATAATAAATATTTTCTGACATCTATTTGAGCATCATATCTCTATATTCGGTTGTCTTACAAATAATATCAACTTTTACAATGATCAATTTTTACTTATTTAAAAGAAAATTTGTTTGCTCAAATACACTTACAATGATGATCATAACGAACGACACATTTTTGGCAAACTTTACAATGATGTGCTCTCGGTGGTCTCATTACATCACATTTCAAACACTTTGTATAATTTAATTCTTCTTGAGTTGATAATTCTTTTTTTAATTCAACAACAAAACCCGGTGATTTTGCAATTGCAAAATAATAATGCATTATTGTATTAATTAATAACCAATGTCCAATAATTAAATGAAAGAAAAATCGTCGATAAAATCCATGAGACCACCAATATGGAAAGAAATATTGATAAAAAACAAGTGCATTCTCGTAAACAAGAATGATCGTTATTATAACACATAATTTTTCTACAATCTGTCGAACAACTCCCATCGTTCTTTTAAACTTTTTTCTATTTGATTTCGAAACTGATATGAACCAACGCATAGGCGTGGTTTTTTACGGTTGATTGAACTTTCTATTTTTTTTCTTTCTTTTTTTTCTTTTTTACTGACTCATCGAATAGTCATGCATTTGACTGCATAGATGGGTTGCTGATTGTGTTGACTGTTACTGATGATCGATTTCCGATAGTAAATAAATATACATAGCGGCATGTGTACAAGTGTACCGAATTGAATTAAGAAGAAAAAAAATAAATTTTTTTTTTATTAGTATTTGGTCAGTTCATCTTTACGTCAATATGCACAGACGTTCTTTTATCAACTTTTGAATATGCGCGCGACAACAATCTGTAATATAATTTTCTTTCAATTATCTAAATATTCGTTATTTCCTGTGCCGACAACAAGTGATAAATAAAAAAAATCTTTTCTTTCTTTTTTGTTTCTTATGAAAATACAGACGAAAGAAAGAAAAAATCTAACATTGAACATGATTAAATGATATGTTTATTTATCGTTTTCATTTCATACATATATACGAAATACATACAAAAAAAAAAAGATATCTTGCTTATTTAATTTGATGATGTATTGTACGTATGTACATGCTTCTTTCCGTTTAATGTATCAATTCTATTGACACGTGGTCAACGAGCTAAATAGAACAACGAGCATGATGAGTTAATCGTTGGGTGTGCCATCAATGTATACTCAGGATGTTGATCTTCACTCTCATTAGATAACCAACGAGCTGAAGAAATACTAACAAGGCTTAAATGTTGCTTTCTTTTTTTCTCTTATTCGATATCTATCTATCCCATTGTTTTAATTCACCTTTAAACTTTCGAACGTGCCCTTTGATAGAATATTTGTTTTTTATTCTTTTTACCATACATCAATAATTAAAAAGAAGAAAAAAAAAAACATTTTTACCACAATTTGATGTGACTAAGGTTTGAAAAAAAACAGAAGTAAAATTTTTTAAAGCAAAAAGAAACACAAGAAATTTCGTATTAGAAAACGAAAACAATAATTGTGGAGATGCTTTTCATGTTTAAAAGAATTCTTCAAAATTATTTACACAAACTACCATATAGAAATAAAAAAAAAACAAGAAAGAATCTTCAACTCATTTCGAGATCAATTAAACTATTGAATTGCTTTTCTTTTTTTTGAAAGAAAATGTCTACGAAAGAAAAAAAAATATACATTATTAATGTCAAGTAAATAGTAGTAGATTTACGAATCACATTTTGGATCAAGTCAACTATCATCATAGCCTTGCCGTAGCTTGCACATGGTGAAGCACAAAAAAAGGTGAACAAGAAAAAAACAAATGAAAAAAAAAGTAAAAAAAAACATTCTTTTGAGTATGTGTATGAATGTATCTTTCTGCACAGAACAGAAAGAATCTATGTTGCTTTTACTCAAACGACAATCGATTTTCGGGTGACGAAATGCATGACAAGCAAAAAAAATATGTAAGCGTATTGATGTATATTAGCAATTTTATTGTAGATATGCAAATAATGCGTGACGAGCACTCATAGATAGTAGTATCACGTTGAAGTAATATTTGATATTGTAACGTCCTACTAGAAACCTCATTTTAGCCTCTTTTTATTACAAAAAAAAGATATACAGGTATAGTTTAACATACTGTGTTATTTTTATTCGATGGTACTTACTGTTTCCTTGTACTTGTTTAGACAAAATTCATTTAAGAGTGTGTGTTTACTATCGGAAATCGACATATAGAGCTACACACATACACTCACATAACGCCGGACAATCTAACGATTGGTTAAATATATTATTATTGAACCAACCAGTTATTGAGCAAACAAGAAGAAAAAAAGAAGAAGAGAAAAAAAAGAAGATAGTGTTGTAACCATGAAAAGATTTATTCATTTAAAGCGCATCATGACTGAAAGTGGCGAAGATTACGGTTTAGGCTTTCCAACTAGTCCAAAAACACCTAATGGAGTAAGTAAAATACTTAAATCAAAAGAAAAATATTTTGAGAACTCTATTATTATTATCTTTTCATTAATGTTAAATATAAAATTCTAATGTACACAATATGAATAATAACAATCGATTTTTTTTAAATATTAGTATTCACCTGAATTGGAACGATTATTGCGTGAAACAGCTCATCTTCGTGCTGATCCATCACTTATACTTGAAACACCTAATGTTTATGAACAAGCAGCTCGTCTTAAAAAACTTGGTGTTGTCGATCATATAAGTCAATTTGATATAAATAGTTATCAAAATATAACTGATGAATTAAGCAAAACACCATCAGCTGTATCTTTATCATCATCATCATCATCGACTTGTTCATCTGATTTAAGTCCACCTGCTCATCTTGTACCATTACAAATGCATCATCATTATTATCAGCATCATCATCATCCTTCATATTCAATTACAACAACAACAGCAGCAAGTGAAGTTTCATATCAACATCCAGGTTCAAAACTTCGTACAAGTCCATTAATTCATTCGCCTACAGCTTTATTTCTTTGTCGAAAACGTCTTCCATTAGATAATGAATTAATGAGTGATGAATTATCTTCAACAACGACATATGAAAATTTTATGCAACAACAACAACGTCTATCAACATGCTATTGTCGAGACAATAATCAAACAACAAATACAATGTTATCTTGTCCAAATCCAATTCATAATACTAATAATAATAATAATAATACAGAAATTATTAAAACAGAACCTACACAATATTTATCAGATTATTCAATGGATTTTGGACATCAATTCTATGATGATAAAACATTTTCCACTATGTCATCAGATACATATTCGCCATCATCATCATTACTTGTTCCTATTGGATTATCTACTGATAATATTAAATTATCATCATCACCACCATCAATTCCTGATTATTCTTTAACATCTCCAATTGATGGTTTTAATCAAACTGGTATCAATGATATGTGGCCTCCATCAGTTGTACCAAAAGGTCGAAAACGTTCATCAACAAATATATCAAATGAACCAAAAACAAAACGAAAAACTCCTTCTTCATTTCAAGATGCTAATATAGAAGAAGATGTACAACGAAGAAGTGGTATTATTCATGCATGTAGTCATCCAGGATGTGGAAAAATATATAATAAATCATCACATTTACGTGCTCATGAACGAACACATACAGGTATTAAACCATATTCATGTCAATGGCCTGCTTGTGGTTGGAAATTTGCACGGTCTGATGAATTGACACGACATTATCGGTATGTAATTTTATTAAGACAAATAAGAAAAAAACAAATATCATTGTCTATAATTATTACTATTATTATTCTCTTTTGTTTTAGTAAACATACTGGTGTCAAACCATTTGCGTGTAAATTTTGTGATCGAGCTTTTGCTCGCTCCGATCATTTAACCCTTCATATGAAACGACATCTTTAAAGGAAAAGAAGAAAAAGTTAATTTTTTTTTTTTTGTACATATTTTTTTTTCTCGGTCTCATTCACATCGATGTGCGTATTCTTAGAGTCAAACGTCAACTTATTGGCAATGTGCAAAAACAAAAATGAAATTCGTTTTCATTATTTCTTTGTTTTTTTTTGTTTATTGTAAAGAAAAGAAAGGAAATGAAAAAGAAAAAAATATTATTCTTTCGTGAGAAAAATTGTATGTTGAGCACCAACAGCAATATTCGCTATTTTTTTAATATCCATGAATTTCGATGATATAATACGTGGAATTTTAATATCATTTTCTCCATGTCCATGTTGAAGAGATGTACCAGCACCAAATGAATAGACTTTGCCTGTTTCATCAATTATAAATGAAACATGATTTCCACAAGCTATATCAACAGCTTTTGGAATATTTGGAATAAGTATTGGTCTATCAATATGAGTAGTTAGACCATCAATACCCAATTGCCCTTCATGACAACGTCCCATTGCATAAACTTCACCTAAAGAAAGAATATAAGAACTAAAAAAAAAAGATTTATATTCAAAATTTACCATTGACAGTAAGACCAAGTGTATGATGTAGACCACCGGCAAATTTTTTCCATTGGTAGCCGTCTAACGATGGAATATGTGCTGGAAAAAAGACAGGTTCTGTTGATGATAAACCTAGCATACAAAAAAAAATACTTATTAATTGTTTTAAAAATGAAATAAATTAATCGCACCGATTTGATGAAAATTATTTAATCCACCGGCAAATATATAAGGGTGACCCTGTACTTTTAAAAAATAATGATGAGCACCTGTAAAAATATCTTCAAATAATAAATTTTTTTCTTTAATTGATGATCGATTATAAAGAATAGGCGTAGGTGTGATTAATCGTTCTAAAACAAAACAAGCAATGTCTTTGACATAAATAAAACAAAAAAAGAAACAAAGAAAAAAAAAATATGAATAACAATCAAGTTTTACCAATTCCTCCACGTCGACCATCTTCAGATGCATATCGACTAAGTCGACCTAATTGACCTGTTTCTCCATTACCACATGAATAAATTTGTCCAGTTTCACTAAGAAACAATATAAAATCATATCCACTTGCTAATTTAACAATTTTTTCTGGTAAAAGAATTTCAATTGGACGTTTTGCCATTTTACCCTTGTGAACAAGACCATAGATTCCATGTGAACTCGAACGAAATGTGCCCCAGCGTGAAACAATCGAAAAACAAGATCAAATAGTACATGTCATAAATCACAAAAAAAAATGATAAAACCTACCATAAACCTTACCCATATTTGATAAAACTAATGTATGACTATCACCAGCAACAATTTGTACAATATTTTCTTCATCTATATTCATTACTTGACTTAAATCAACTTCTCCAAATGGATCAGTATCATTATGATCATCATCATCATCATCATCATTATTATTATTATCTGGACGACCCAATGCATATTCATCATTACATCCAAATGTATAAATATTATTTTGATCTGTTAAACAAACTGAATGTAAAGGACCAGCAGCAATTTGTACAATTGATTCAGGAATAAGTACAGGTTGAGGATTTTTTCGTTGATCAATAGAACTTTTAAGACCTAATTGTGTCATACCATTTTCACCAACAGCTAATACTTGACCACCTTTGATATTACCATTTATAATAGATGGTACTGATAAATATGTGGTCTGTCGACGAATAGTTCGACGTGTAGTATTCATAAGACGTGTTGAACGAGCCATTGAAGATTTTGAACGTGATTGTTGAACTAAAATAATTTGAGATTTTAATTTTAAGAAGAAAAAAAAAAAGAAAAAACAAACCATCAGTCGGTTTAATTGTTCTAGATTTAGATGTGTTTACTTTTGTTGATAAAATACTTTTTTTATTTTTATCTGTCGTTAAACTAGATGATGAAATTGATCGATGACGAATATTTTTAGCTGTTATTGGTGTCGTAGTTATACGAAGTACATCTTTTGTTGCTCGATTTTTAACTTTATTTGTTGATTCGATTGATGGTGATGGAGATTGTTGTCTTTTTGATTTACTATCAATTGATGATGTATTCGTAGTTTTCTTCTTTTTATTTATTATTGTTGTATTAGAATTTTTTAATGAATTAATTGGTAATGATTCTGCAACTGAACGAGACCGAGATGATTTAAGATTATTTTTAGATGTATTTTCTTTTGCTATAAAACGAAAAATGTATAGAATAGGATATTGACTGTTTGTTTTATTTATGTAAACTTACGTTTAACTGAAGCTGGTGCTGGTGATTGTTGTTTTGTTCGTTTCTTATTTGACACAATTTGTTGTTCTTGAGTTTTTTTCGTGGTAGATGTCATCTTTTCATCATTATTTTCCTTATTATTATCATCGATTATATCTAAACAAAATGAAATTCGTCAAATCAATAAATTCAAATCATTAATACCATCATTTTCATATTGTCGTTTTGTAGTTCGAGAACGTGACATAGCTTTTGATTTACCTATAAAAATAATCATATTAGATAAAATATTTAATACAAATTAATAAAAAAAATAAAAATTCACCATTGTAAGGCATTTGTAAATAATTTCTAAATATATTCTACTGAATAGACAGATGATCTAATATCTAGTACGATTAACTATGAATAAATGTAGACGAATATCAGTAGTAGATAAAGAATACATTAAACAAAGAAGAAAATTCACTTAGTTGTTCGTCGAATGTGGACGTATGTAGAATGGACGAGAAAAAGTAATTTTGACGAAGAAAGAAATAAGAAAAAAATGTACAGTGAAATCATAGTGAAATTTACCAGCTGTAGGAAAACTATGCATATTATCAATAAAAAAAAGAGTAGCTAATATTAAAAAAAACCAAACACAGTTATACAAATACATCAGTATATCATAAAGCTGTATTTAATACAAAGACTACAGTAAAAACCTAAAATAAATAACAATTGTTTTTCTTTTTATTATAGTTAATTATTCATAGAAGTATTTGTCGAGACTATTATCTTGTTTCGTCTAAATGTTCTTCAATAAAAATTTTTTGTTCTTGAGAACATTAATATAACTCTTTGAATCATTCTTTCACATGTTTTATTATATTTGAGTATATCAAAAATATAAAACACAATGTAATCGCTGCATATAAAAAATTTTCGACAAAGTAAAATTCATATGGAAAGTTTTCATCCATGCCACCTGTCATTAGAATATCATTGTTCTATATACACATCGATCATATTTATGTATTTTTATTAAAATACACACATACATAAACTACAGTTTTAAAATGTAATGTATTACATTAATATGTACAATATTAATTGTCCTTAGCTAAGAATATTAACTTTACATACAGGATGAGTCATAAATAGTACTACAATAAAAAATTGAAATATCTCCACTTCGGTTTGCTTGAATGAGCTGATTTTGTTGGTTGACGGTAGAAGCTAATTTAAAGTATTTTTTTTTTGCATACGAATAATAGAAATAAACACTACTGTCAAATTATATTTTGGGTCTCACTACTAAAGGAATTTTACCTATTGTCAAGTAAGAAAAATATATATGAAGCGTTTCATAGATAATTTTCAGTTGTCATTGAAACGAATAATAATAAGTCAAAACGAACTATATTGATGTATACAAAGTTTTCAAAACTAATAGTAAGTTTAAATACTAAAATTCCCCCCCCCCCCCCCCCCCCCACAAGTACAATGCATTATGGCAGTCCATCGGGCACCAATTTCCTTGGAAAAAAATCAATATTTTACGTTTGAAAATTTGGTTTATGTGTATTAATATAGTACGCTTTGGTTTCCTCATATTTTCTTTGATGATAACGGATAAAATTGCTTTCATGATATTAACAATGATACTTAATAGTAGTATTTGCTGATCTTATTCCGATGAAAAAAAAACTTTGAATAAATCTCTACCGCTAACCAAAAAATAAGGTGATTTGTTTGAATCGACGTGATATTTTTTTGTTTTTGTAGTGCTATTTATGGCTCATTGTGTACTTTTCGATTACCTTTGAAAAGTAGGTTAGTCAATATAATACAGGTTGTCCCAACAGTAATAACTCGAAAGTAAATTCGTATATCTTTACTATTTGATTTGACTTGATTAACTATTTCTTTTTTAAATGGCAGATAAATACACCGAGTTCTTATTTATATGAACAAAGTTCAAAAGTACTGTTCAAAGGTATCTCAGAGTTTTGACTTGATACCATTCAATTCATCTTTGCGAAGACATATCAAAATAAAATTCTACGAAAAGACTGTTCAGAAATTGGAGAATTTAAAGATCCACATCACTCAATAACTCGAAGCAACTAAAAAAAAAAGAAATGTTGTGTAATGTTCTTCTGGAAATAAAAAATAGGCTAAATTTTTGTATTTCAATTAAAGGTGATACCTTTGAGCAGTACTTTTGAAGTTTGTTCATATAAATAAAAACTCGATGTATCCACGTATTATGTAAAAAAAAAAAGTAGTCGATAAAGTCAAATCAAATAGTAAAAACATACGAATTTACTTTCGGGACATCCTGTATATCTTAGTATTAAATAGGTATCTGCTGTTTTTATCTAAGATTTTCTACTTGATTCAGATGATCTATTACAAAATTGTAATGGTAGTACTCTTGCTAAAATCTTGAAAGCCTTTTGGAATTCGTTACATATGGAATGCAGCGATCATCTTGGTACAGACAAGACAGTATAATATCCTAAACTTATATTTAAATTATTAAGGGAGATGACAATAGTTGGAATTTGTTTTTGAGAAAGTTCTCGGTCTCACAGATTCCCAAGGCAATAGATTTCGGCCATACGTTATTATTGTTAAATATGTGAACTTATATTTTTCTGGACACTTTTTAAATCAATGTATTATTTATGTATAGATGATGTCAGTTGGAGTTTTGTTGATGATCATATTGATTTTATTACGTACTAGAAAGATCAAATTATGCATATAAAAAAAAATATATTAACTATGAAAGTATTGAATAACAAATAAATTCATTATAATTCTGTTTAAATTAATTTACATATTTCATTTTTATTTTATATTACCATCATCAGGAAAATAAGTGTCAACAATACAATAATAACAACAATTAAACTGAGTGAAATGAACAAGGAAAGAATAACAGCAAAAATTCAAAGAGATTATAATCATTGTTCTGTAGTATTCTTATCATCATATTCGACTTGATGTATTTTTTGAAAAGCAAACATAATATAGAGACCTAAAATATAATCAATATATATATATATGTATATAAAACATTCAATTATTAAAATAATATCATACTTGTCATATCCCATTCTTGTTTGGATAAAGTTCGCTATAGGATAAAGAAAGTTTTCATAACAAAAAAAAACTATAATAAGAAACTTACACAACTTCTTATAGAATCTTGATGTTGTGTATTAATATCATTAATATAATTTGCAGCATGTGTATATCGAGTATGATCAATTATTGGTCCTCGTTGATAATTTGGATTGTTTGGAGGAAGTTCATAATACTAAATGATTTATTTCTTCTTAATAACAAATTCTATCATGTATAAATTACTTTTTACCTCTAAAGCATTCATTTTCGATAGTAGGAAACGACCATCTCGAGTATCCTTATTATTATTGAAATAGTCTTTAAATATTTGTCGTTCAACTTTTTTTAGACCATGTTTTTTTGCCAATCTATAAAAATTAATTAATAAAAAAGATTGAAAAAAAAAACAAAGAAAATTTGAACATACTCTTCCAGTAAAGGAAAATAGACTAGATATTCAGGACAATCAACAACATCATCAAGACTAAAATGATATTTAGCACCAAATAATGGAATTGATTCGTTGCTTGTTTTACTCAAATCAATAGAAGGATCGAATGTAACACTAAATACATCGTTTGAAATTTTCTGATTAGGTGAATTACGACAACGTTCACTGAAATATAAAAAAAACTTGTTTATACATTATTTTTTTGAACTTCTTAACACATACACTAATTCGCATGAATTCACAGTAGTACCAATAAAATAGCCACCTACACGTAAAAATTCAGCAGCATTACGTAGAAATTGATCGGCTGATTTCAATTTCTCGAATGCATAATGAAGAACAAATTGTGTACTGACTAGATCAAAACATGGTTCAGTAGTTTTAAGTTTATCTCGAATAAGTTCCTAATATGTAATATATATACATATATATATATCAATATAGAAAAAGAAAGACAATCAAGAAAACAAACTTTAGTGCAATCAAGTGGGAAGAAATCTGCATTATAATTGCATTTTTTCTGTCTCTCGTAATAACGTTGTTTGCATATTTCAACTGAATTTTCAGCAAGATCTACAGATTAATAATTATATATACATAAATAATAATGAAATTTATTTTTCTTTTAACTGACCAACAAAAGTAACAAAATTAACACGACCAACTTGCCATTTAAGTTGATCGCCGCCTAGAAGAATTTCAAAAAGAAAAAACAAAAATTATACTCCATTGATTATAAAGCTAAGTGAACATTATTTACCTTTACCACAACCCATATCAAATACATGAATCTTATTACTTCGATCAGGTTGTTCGTTTCTAAGACGTTGTAAATATTCATCTATAATACAAATTGTGGCTAAGGAAGTAACCAAATTCTATTAAGTATTACGTACTGATTGATAGACTTTTGATCCAATTGTTAAAGTTACGCATATATAAAATTTTACTTTCATTACGTTGATCTAAACCCTGCTGCTGTGGACTGTTATAATACGTGCGAGCATCATGACCAAGTGATGGGTCAGTTGAACTAGTCATGCTTAACAAGAAGAATTAATATAGGAAGAAAATATGATATACTTTTGACAGATTTTTCTATTTTTTAACAAAAAAAAGTATGCGTCTGTCTAACATAGGACGAAACCTTTTTTCTTTGAGTGAATTTGTGAACCAATCAAGTCTTCTTGAAAAGTGTTTTACTATAAAGATGTCGTTACTGATGGCAAATGTTAGAAAATTATTTTACGAAGTGATGATCAGATTTTAACTTGGTAGATAGATTATGCAACCTATAATAGGATTATATATATTTTAATCATTTTGATCGCTTATCAATTTTCTTTTCCTAAACTATTCTTTTCTGCTTCTATGTCTACCAGAAAAAAAAATAAATTCAAGTACTTCATTTTACAGAATTATTGTCGTGAAATTTTATTTCAAACATCTGTAAAACGGTGATATCATGTTCTAAGACATCTATCGTTATGTTAGCATGTACATGGTTTCCTTAATATGAATCCTGATATCGCCTGAATGATTAATTTTTGGCGTCCCTTTTTTAACAGAATCATTGCTACAGATGAAAGAATATAAAGGAGTCAGTGTTAAACAGGATTGGTGGTCTCATCAGAAGTCATGCAATTATAATGGATTCTATAAAATAAGTTATATGAAGATAATAGTGTATTATAGCATTGAAATGCAAATAAAAATGTGACAGCACAAATTATTCGTTTTCTTAATTATCATTGTCTCAGTGAGTGCATTATATTATTATTTGGTGAAGAATATTAGTTTTTGCTAGAATAAAGTGGTCAACGAGTATCGTTAGATCCAAGAATTAATCTTTAATGAGTTTTTGGTCTTTAGAACTAGATCATTGTCTTGGAGTATTCGAGATCACAATAGGTTATCAACTTAATCTCAAATAATTCTACGCCTTGCGCAGAGACATTCGTATCGAAAAACTTATTCCAAGTTACTTCAACGGAATGATAGTGGCGACTAGTCTCTTGAAGCTGTTATCAAAACTCATTGGTCTCGTGATGATAAGCCATTTCTACCGAAATATATCACTTAATCGCTGATTATATAAGTGAAATTGTTTTCTTTTTTTATGGCTTAACATTTTACGAAAAACAACGTCAAGGTCGATTATTCAAACATAACGTGGATAAATTCATATTTTTTTCCTATTTTGATTGTAGATGTTGACGAAGACCTAGTTTGTTGTCATTGAAACGATACAAATGTAGAATGAAGTAGTATTTGCTAGGGAAATGGCGGTACTCTTCAAGCTTTTCTTTTTCAGTTGCTATACAAGGCAACAAATGTATACTATGAAATTGTGGTATAAGTGATTGAAAACTTTGACGTGACGACGAACGCATCTTTCTCAGCTGTTTCTGTCTAGTTTCTTATTCGAATTGTTAAACAAACACCATTGCCTGTACAATCGGATTAAATAGTACAAGTTCTACATCGATTCGAACACGTCATATATCACTAGAATATGTTGATGATAGACATCATGAATCTTGTATTGCATTAGCATTAAATACAATAACAACTGAGCGAATTTTAGTCTAGGTAATATGTATTCAGTCAGGGACAAGTATTACTAATATTCTTAGTATTTCACAACATAGAATGATCAAGCGTCTTATTAAACCAGATAACATTTGAGTTTCATTCGATTGCGAAATGCAGTGCGAAGTTTCGAATTTAGATTATTGAAAAAAACAAGATGTCTAAATAATAAAAAACGAATAAACGTTTCTACGATTGGTCACACAATGCTTCTCCGCATTAGATATTTACAGTTCACAGCAAGGAATTCCTTTTCTGTTGATCGTATTGGAAACTCGAATTATTTACGTTTCGATCAATTTGCTATTTGAAATAGAAAAGAAATTGACAAACAGACATGGTAAAAGCCATTATGACGGAAACCTTATCGATACGTATCAACATGTTTTTAGAGAACGTTGTGGATTTTATCGCTTAACTTTCTGTATGATTCATTATTTCAAGAAAGTAGACAAAAATTTGTCTTTTTGGGTGATCTTTTCTAAGAAAATGGAACGCCCTGTTGAAGACTGGAAAATAAATGGTACAGATTCAGTCATCAAATTTCATCTTCACGTTTAAACCAGTATTTTTTTTAACTTTTTATTTTCGAGAGACTATCGGGACTGGAAATAATAACTTCGAATATATACGTCTACTCAGTAAAGCAAAAAAAAAGAAAACTTGCAAAGGACCACATAAATATGGTTCGAAGTGGTCTTACATTTAGACTATGTCGCTTGAATTAACATAAAAATGATAAACGATTTTACTTAGAGCTGATCTTGTCTTGCCGAAGATTTTGATTATCGTTCCTGTTCATAACAGCTAGTAGTTAGGTTGACTGGAGATTAGTTGATTCTGCATCTCAAATAGGACAACAAGTGTGGTAAACATTTCAAACTCATATACTGTCACCAGAATTTATGTCTTTTAAAGTCAGCCCTCGAATATTTTACATTTTTATAAATGAACAATGTCTACACAAAACATATTACATAATTTATACCATATTTTATTAATCAAATCAATATTGTGTAAATATACACTATTATGCATACGTCATCTAATAAAGTTTTCATATATGAAGTTGATGAGGAAATAAAACTATTTTAAAGTGATATTTTTTTCTAATTTCACAATTATCCAATGTTTATATGTAGATATATGATTTCGTTTTACTAGCTATGCAAGTAATCTCATCGGCTGTATCAAAAGTCGTACGATGGAATTGGTAACTGATGATTCTGTTTTTCTGAGCAAGAAATTTTACCTTGAAAGGAAGAAACCGATTTTTCACGTTCCTCAAGCATCAATTCAATATAGAGTATACCTTCAATGATCTTCGTCGGCAAAAATTTGGTTCGAAGATCTAATTCTGTGCAGACGATGAATAAAAATAATAACTCATAGACTACAATATTTCTAATGGACAAAAAATTTAAAAAAAGATACCGACTATTCCTATCAAAAAGTTCTGTTTTTATGAATCTAGTAATTTTAATATCACATAAGATTTTTTATATATTCAGAAAACTTAAAGAATAAGGCAATCTCATAACGAACTATAAAAAAAAAACATGAAATATATTTAGTATTAATATCTATCGATGATCTAAATGAAATTCTATGAATAATGTCCATTACTCATACTAATATATAACAAAGTATATTCTGTTAGACTATTTATATGCGTCTGTTACACAAAATTTGTAGATTTTTCGCTGCATACACATGTAACATTTCTTTTTACTTTATTTTTAAAAAAAGTTTGCAATAAAAAGATTTGCCAATATTCCCCCCATCTATAAGCTTTCATGTGTATCCTACGTGGAAATAGTTCCATCTGTAATTTATCTATACACATTTCAATTTAGTGCTGAACTCATGTGTCAATAGTCGACGAAATGTCTTCGAAATCATTTAAAATATATAATTTTCGAATATTATTATTATTGTTATGTAGCCGCCTACGTCTGATAACATAATAGAAAATAAAAATCACAGATAGATCTTTGTAGTGGTATATAAGTGTAGTGCCAGCTGTGACTCTTTTTGTATGTAAAAAACAAAGAAAAAAAAGAATCTTTACCAGATTGATATAGAGTAATTATACATGGAAGAAAAATTTTTTCCTACTCGTGCCCTTTTCTGGTCATTTTGGGCCAACATTATATTTACTTTTGGTATGATTGGTTATTTTTTAATGGATGGATTGGATTATGTGTATCCAAATACTCTCAATTCATCGTTATCTGCTATTATCTATGTTATTCTTGCAGGTGTATTCGTAATTGATTGTACTTTACAATTAATAGTAGTTTACAATATTGATCGTAATATTGATCGATATATTTTTATGGTCGTCTCTTGTATATTTGATAAAGTTGGAAGTCACGCTTATCTTCTTGGCGCATTATTCACAGCGACAAATTTCACAAGTACAAATACAGTTTTAATATTTAATAGAATTGGTGTTGGTAGTTTTGCAATTGGTGCCGCAATAAATATGATAGTTCCTGGATCGAGTATTTTATATTCTTGGGCTAATACTCTAAACTTGTTAGGATCATTACTGTATGTATTAGCAATAATTATTATTCGTGTACCATTAACACAAATTATTGTTATTCTTGGTGATTTTATTTATATTATTGATGCAATTTTATATATGATATGTTGGTTTTCTGATCGACGATTAGCTATGAAGCAAGGAGAACAGATCTTATTACTGAATAAAGAATCAAAGACTTCGAGTTCTAACAGTGAAATGATTCGACAAAAGAAATGATCATATTTCATCCTTGTCTTGTTTTCCAATGTATTTTATTTAAATTTTCTGCCTTTGTAATGAATGAATACAGATAAAAGTACAAACAATGATTGATTCAATGTGTAAAGTATGTTTAATAAGTTGTGATTCTATTAAACAATATTCTTTTCTTATATATTTTCACACAAATTCGAAGTTAATATTGACAACTAAATGCATTACATGTCTAGATAATACTCTAGATTAGAATTTCAGCTTGTTAAGTATTATTATTATTGTTATTGTAGAGATCTGAGTAGCAACAAAATCACAAAAATTTCCAATTAAAACGTACAAATTGATTATATGAAAAATAAAATGACTGTCATACAGCTTGAATGGTTTCGTGGATAACTACTGTTTTTCTGAATCAAGTTGCAACTCGTGTTTTTTTCTTAACTAAGTAAAACTAAACCCATTGAGAATTTTGAATATTGCATATGAAATTGTATATGAAATGCCTCATAGAAAAAATAACTTATATTCATTTTAGTAAGTGATAAATTAAAATCGGAAGAAGATATATAAACATTGATATACAATTTGTTATTATTTTTCTTTAAAAAACTTTGATTTATAAATTTTTCTCCAAATAAAAGTTTTTATATAGCATCACTAAATAAAACATGCCAGATAATTCTAAAAGTAATTCAAAAAT